AGAGGAGAAGAGAGGGAACACTGATCCAGTTGATTCACAGTACTGAACATGACTGGTCTGACTTCACATCACCTAGTTATTGAACATTTCTTTTGACAGTAAATGGTTTCCCACCCTGTCTTTCCTTGAAAAGGTCACCACTCTAGTTACACTTCTGAAACTTAAGAAGGTGGATGTTACAACCTTATTAGTTTTACTATCTTTTGAGGAAATAAAGCCCTAGTTCAGCTGCATCAGCTGTCTACCCCAGAGGCATCTGTGTATGCCAAACAGCACATGTTTTTATTTAAATTCGTGCCATTTATTGGCTGTCGCTTATTATTTTTCAAAGCAGAAATCACCAAATACAACAGGCAGGTCCAACAATTTCTCATTGGTATTCTCTTCTGTCAGCTGGTAGCAATACAGTGTTTGTCTCCTGTATGGATGTAGGCGACTTCACCTTCACATCAGCTTTGTGTTTTGACAGCGTCTTACGTGTTTTGATGCGGTCCCGAGTGTGATGTGAATTTGAATAGGGTGTGTACAAAGACTAGCCTGTCAGGGAGAGAATGATCCAGACTGACAGAGAGATGATTTAAGTCTGTCGCCAACCATTCCCTTTCAAATCAGCCCTTGAATCACTCACACACACACACACACACACACACATAAACACACATCCACCCACCCACCCACCAGTTCCTCTTCCTTGAGTGACTGCACTCAGAGATGGCCATTGCATTTTAATTCATTTCCCCCAGGTTCTCTGGCTACAGTGCTGATCTGCTGATCTTAGCTTTCCACAATCACTGTGTTTCCTTCCCTCAAAACCTGAATAAGAATCAGACCAGAGTCAGACAATACAGAATACTCCACAGTATACATTTACAGAAACAAATACACTGTATATTTTATACACAGAATAAAAATAATTACTATATAACAAAATGCTGCCTAAAACGCTACCACTTCTGTGTGACCAAAAAGCTTTGTGCAACATTTAAATGTTCAATATTTTACATGGAAACATTTGACAAAGGGGATGAACAAACTAGGGATAATAATAATACATATATCTTTATATTAATTATCTTATAAAATGAAAAAAAAACTGAGTGCAGAATACACTCTGGAAGACAAAAAATAGATTGATAACACAGATTAATTTATGATTCTGGAATCAAAATTATTTGTTAATTTTTAGCATTTTTGAAATTATTCTGATGGTAGGAGTGAAAACTGGTGCAATCTATGCAGAGAATTACACCAGACAGTTTAGGCTTGTGTATCATAAAGCACCTGTTATAGAATCCACTGCGACAAGCCTTACTCAGATTGTCAATACTGACACTCACAAGCAGCCACCTCTGACTTGCTTTTTATTTAAACCTTTTACACTGAAAATTACCCAGTGTGTGGGTATTCAAAGGAGAAATACATATAGACAGGCCTGTTCCTTGTGCACAGTGTATTGCCACAGGTCAAAAAAATGATTTTCCTTTCAGTTAGGTGGCTCAATGTGGGCGCGTGAGCACAAAAGGCCTCTCTCCTCCAAGTAAGCTTGAATATTTGGCGTTTGATTTTTTTGTTTCCTCAGTGATGTAGTTCAGTTGGTTTGGATTAGAGTGCATGAAGAAGAGCTGACAGACAGACAGGGTGGAAATCAATTGGAAAATTCATTGTTTCCAGTAACAGCGGAGCTGTGCTTGTGTCTTTATGTGCATAAGCATTTAAACCTGCTACAAAATATTACTAGAACACTCTAAAACACACTCTCCTATTTAAGACTGTGTCATGGTCTTAGCCTGCATTGATTTGAAATTTCTTTACTGGAAATTTTGATTTCCCAACAACTCAATGTAAACACATTGATTAATCTCAAAATGAACAGACATCATACGTATTTTTTCAATATAATTTGATATCTATATTTATGCATTTATACACTAACACATGATATGAATACAGGAAATACAATCTAAACAGTGTATGTGTCTGTCTGTCTGTGTCCTAGTGACATTATTTTTGGTGTCCTTGCCTACCCAGTGAATATTATTTTCCATTTCTGCCAATATATTCTGTTACACACTGGACCTTTAGGTTACAAAAGTGTATTTAATGCATTTAACACAATCAAGCTAACTTTGACCATAACCCGATCATTGTGCTTCCTAGTAATTGCATGGTAAATTCTCAACTTTAATGCTAAAAAAAAAAAAAAAACTGTGTGGCCCTGGTTGACAGTATAAAAAATATAGCCTAATATTATCAAAAATACATTAGGACATTATGAATTCATCGTATATTTTACAGTACATGCCAATATCTAGTTTTTTCGTGTATTATAAAGTATTCATGATTACCAAATCACTTCAGCTTACTTTCAGGTTTGCAAATTATTGTTATGTAATAATGTACATTGTAAATATAGAATCTGTAACCACATACAATATTAGATCTCCATATAAGTGTTGCTTGCAGTGAATAAAGTGTTGTTTGTTTATTGGACATGTAATTTAGAGCTGACCTGAAATGCACCATAAAAGTGCAGCCATAAAGAATATACTCATTGCATACAAAAGTTAAGAATTACTTTGCAAACAACATTAAAACCAAACTTTTCCTAGGGTCATAAGCAGCATTTTGAATCGCGGACTGTCTGAGTCTTTCCTCCCCAGTGCACCTGAGATCTGCTGCCTGGTTCAACGAATCACCATATCAGAGACCTTGGCTGCTGTTGCTGTAGATGTGATAAGTCAGTCTACCAAGACTGTCTGGATGTTTCTGCCCTGTTGGTTCCAGAGTACAATGTGAAACTGAAATGAGATGTGCTCACTCTGCATACTATCAATCTGTTGTATTTCTGATTGAGTCCTCTAGCATATCTTTTGTATGAAAAATTACATGACTGAAGTCAGCTAGTGTTGTTTAGGTGGAATCAAAAGCTTTATGTGTTAAGCATTCAGTAATTATGCATTTCGCATTAATGAGTTGTGTGTACATTTGACTTACAGTAAGATATTTACAGATTTAAAACAAATCACTGTCTTTTTTATTTATGTCCTCCTCTCCCGGCCCGGGCTATTTGCAGCAGGTTCAGTCTTTGTTCTTTACTCTCCATGAGGCTGCTCTCATGTTGTGTTTCATTAAAGCTGAACACACATGTTGTTCTCACTGACAAATGTTATTTTTCTGCACTGTCAGAAAACTGAAGAACTATTTGATTGTGGTTCATAACTGTTACACAATCACCTTACCCTGAGATGTTTGTGAGGTGGGAAGTTTAGTATTGGAACACTACTACCTTCATATGCACATGCAATCATAAGAGGCAACATAAAAGCTAGTACATGAAATTAGGTACTGAGAACTGCTTGACTCACTGCTTTTTACTGTTTAACTATATAATAATGTGCTTTAGAAGAATAACAAATATGGCACTTTTATACAGTGGTATCCATTTCCATTTAGTGCATACTGACTGCCATAGCACCATGACTGAAATGTCTAAATAAGGTGGCTTAGGTGTACCCACAAAAGGATGCTAATGGATTTTTGAGACACATTTTCTGTATTGCACGGCCTGCAATAAAGAGAATGTTGTTCTTCAAGCAATGCTGCCAACATTGTGGATTCTGAACAACCTACAGTGATTAAATAACTGCTCCTGTACCTGATCCATCTGGCTCTGTTTTCATGTTGTATCACTTCCCCCTCCTGCTGATTTCCACCTGCTTTGAAGGATGTGCTTGTTCCTCTGGTAACCATACCTGTTTTCCAACCAGACTGCACGCAGCTTTATTGGCTGATCACAAGGTTATCTCTGTACACATTCAGTAAATACAGTGTTCTTGAGCTTGCGTATAATGTTAGGCTGTGTTGCTTACCACACATATGGGAAACTAAGGAAGGAACACTGCAGGGCATGATGTAATAACAAAATCACCAATGTTTAAACTGCCATCTATAAGATTTTGAGAGTGTGATGTTTGACAATTAGTGGGAACACAATTTTCATTTTCTCTTTTCTCATTTGTTGAGGTTTGGCCTAAAGGTGTGTTCAGTGGATAACACAACCCAGCTGAATTGAAAGCACAGACATGTCTTCTCTGATGTTGTACTGTATGCATTGACCTGGTGTATTGGTTTTGTGCTCTGTTTGTATTGACTTGTGAAGCACTATGTGATGCTTGCTATGGAAAGGTAATATAAATTAACTTTACTTACGGTGCTTGCTTGCCCTCTAGCAAACCTGTTGGAGCCTCTCTGCTCTTGTAAACACGACCAGCTACCAGATGGCTACCATTCAACTGATGATCACTTTGGTAGGTTGTAGATTGTGGTGTTTTTTACTGCGTTACACTAAGAGGTATTTCTAATATTTAGTCGATTACATAAATAAGGTAGACAAAACAGAAACACCTCTGCAAACAGAGCATCACAGTATAAACTGAATAAAATTAAAAGGCCGAATATTCACATTTGGCGATTTGAAAGACAGCTATTTCTGACGACTGGCACTTTCTGAAATCCTTTTTGTGACAACACAGAGCCGAGCCATTGCACCAGTGAGGAACAAAGCCAGGCGCCCACAGGATTTGCTCTTCACCTGTTCTTGCACGGATGTTTTGCTTTGAACTTGACTTCCCCGAGGTGGGAGGAAAGGCACAGTAGGGGGTGTGTCAGCAATCATCAAGCATCACAATACACTTTTTTTTCCAAATCCAGTCATCCTTTATAACCGGATTGGACTTTGCACCACCTGTCTGCTTATATGGGGCCAGTGGCACAAGTCGCCGGTAGCTTTCTGTGCTATTTCTTTTTTTTTTTTTGATGAGCTGAACACAGAACGGACAGAGGCAACGATTAAAATGCAGTGTATGCTTCACAGTGTAAATGAATTGTGATTGCTGTCTTTCTTGTCCTTCCCACCACAATCACTGACACATAAACATGTACTGATTTTTCCTACATTGTGCTGTTGTCTGTACACTTCCTTGACTTTGTGATGTGATCAGACTGGGACGACCCGGGGTGGATTGCTACTGTCAGCATGAGAGCGGAGCAGCTGTTCTTCAACTGCAGTTCCTCATCAATGAGGTAAGCCAGACTCCATAACGAAGCAGTAATATTTAAAGCTGCTGTTGTCATACTTGCCTGAAGTCCTCATCATAGCCACAGGAACCTGTCCACTCCAAATGTCTTCTCACTGCGGGCCCTAATTTCTTAATTTTTAGATCGCCTGGGTTTTTTTTATATTTATTATTTGTTGTTGTTGTGGTTTGATGCTGTTTATTCAAAGGAAGAGCTATGTTATGCAATGCAATATGGCCTGTCTGGCTGACAGTGGAGATGAATAAAGATACCTTTTCTACTGATGACAATTCATTGGACCAAAATGGGAACATAAACAGCATCTCTTATAAAACTGACGGGACTTTCTAGAGTGATGTAATAGGTGCCGTTTTACATAAAGCTCTTTTCTCAGATTGGCATTGTGGCAATTATTTCTGGTCTGTGTTAGAATTTGAACAATGTAAATAAGGCGAGGAACCACATTAGTGCACATTTAGGCAAAAATATTCAGCTGTAGGACAAAAAGTATCACTGCAGAGCACAAAGAAGAAAAAGTCTACACACTGATGGGCTCCAAATAAATATTTGTATGCAGACTTTTTCTCCTTTGTGCCCAACAATGTACATAAGTGAATTAAACAGAAAATTATTAAAACCTGTTTCATTGGTGAATCTAAAAATGTGAGTGAGTTGCATTGGCCACAAAACAAGATCACTGAAAACAATATTTCAGGTCACCTGTTGGAAAACCCTTTGAGTGTGGGAAAATAAACTGTGTAGATCAGAAAACTATAATCTTGAAAATGAGTTGATTGGAATCATTGCACGAATGATTAGTTCAATTTCATTCCAGCCTTGTTGGTCTCATTTATTAACTCTCAGTTGTTCCATGTGGATAGGCTAATGTACCAGTACTCAAACACATTTCTTTTGATAGAGAATGGCAGGAGCTAAAACACTATATAATGAACTATTGGTAATTATGATCATTATTGAAGGACACAGACTTTTTTCCTCATAACCTTTAAAAACCATTTTCTCTCACTCCTGCTTTTTCTACTGATAGACCAGTAATGTGTGGGCTGACACATAGCAGTACTCTGCATCAAGTAGTTGATTTCTAAGACTTAAACAGCAGCTTTGCCAGTGCTCTGCGCATTGATGCTTGTTTACTAACAAAGTACTGTAGGTGTATTAGAAAAAAAGGACCCTCTAAAGAGCATAAGCCAAGCCGCACGGGTCTGGAACACCAAGCTGTGTTTCTCTTTCTTGTTTCTCCTTTATTCTGCTGTAATCTATGTGCTCTTCCTGCCTCTCTCTGCTTTTTTTCTTCCCCCACTCTTTTTCTGTTTAAGCCCACTGGCTCTCTCAGCCCACTTCTCCATCACTCACTGGCCTACTTGTGATGTGTCTGAGGCAAATGGAGGTGGATGGGTTTGAAGAGGGGTGTGCGAGTGTTAGTGTGACAGGTATTGACTTTGTTTGTGCGTATGAGTGTGTGTGTGTGTGTGTGTGTGTGTGTGTGTTTGTATGTGATTGTGTGTGTTGGGGGGGTCTAAGTATGTGTGTAATTGCCCAAATGTTAGTGTAAGAGTATCTTCACAGTGTATATCTGGTTGTGAGCATGCATACCACAACAGTATCTCGGTTCAAGTGTGTCCTGTTTAATTTGTGGTTTTATAAAAGCGTGCGTGTTAGAGTGACTTTGTGTGTGTGCGTGCTACATGTTCGCATACACATGGTTCCTCTTACATTAACGAACACTTGCAGTAACCGCTGTAGGTCTTCTCGTTGTTTGGCAGAGTGACTAATAGCAGTGCTGTACGTCAACGCCCTCTCTTAGATTAGGTGTGTGGGCTGTCGGCCGCCCTGGTAATGGTTGACTTGAATATTCAGACCAACCTCTTGACATTCAGTGAGGTGTAATGACTTGTTCCTATTAGAAATATGAACCCACAAAAGAGCCACTTCTTGAAGGTAGCAGTGAATGAGCTAGCGTATGTATTAAGGGTATCTGTCTTCTTTATATCACACAGAAGGCACACAATTCAACACATCTAGTTGTCAGCCATTTTATTATGTTGTCATAATCTCATACTATATCATTCTCATGAGCCTCTCTCTCTCTCTCTCTCTCGCTATTTTATTTTTTTTTTCCTGTCACTGTGTCAGTGGAGGGTATGAATAGACTAATTAAAGTGTTTGTTTGCCTATTTGGAATTCATTATTTTGCTTGATGAATAATACATATAAAGAGGCTAATGGGGCTGCTGTTTGCGTCAGATGAGGTTGGATGGTGGGTTGTAGAGGGGGGAGTCTTAGGGAAGGAAAAGGTGAAAAGGATTGTTTTATCGGTCTGCAGGAGCATTGTTAAGATGTTTATTTCTAAAAGACACAACATATAATCTTGTATATATGGTAAATATAATTCCTGAAATTAATTTTAAAAAAGTATGCTTCAGAGAGTTGATTTTTTAGCACATCCTTCAGACTACACTGACAAACATCTAAAAGAATATGAGATTACTGTTTTAACATTAATGAAGGGGGCAAATTATGTTTTCCAAGCAGTTTGTGCTCTGTTACTTTGTATTTAGGTTATAAGATATTATTGATAAAGACCCTTTTCCTAAAAGATCTGGAAACAGACACTGTAAACATTTTCCAGTATTATTCATTTTTGTAGAGAAACTATTCAGTGTTAAATCCCATTTTCTCTATGTGCAGAGAGGTAGAGAGGAGAAGGACTAAACAAATTCATGTAACACCCCGGGGTTCTCTTCCAAGACAGAATTGGCTTCGTATCAGGCCACACACTGACTTTCATATTGATTAATTAACCAATAATAGATCCTCTGATGCAAAGTGTTTTGTCAGTGCTATAGACAGTTCCCAGATTCCCATTGATCCCCAATTTTTATACAGAAGTACACAAATTATCTTAAAAATAAAAATGTTCACTCTTTGTTTGCAATATTAAAGAACCAGTGTGTAGGATTTAGAGGGCAGGAAGATACCTCCCCTTAATAAATACAATCATATTTTAAAAAGAGAAAAACAGATAAAAACGTTAATTGGAATATATCATTTAAGTTGAAATACAAAATTAATAGAAATTTACAATTATTTTACCAGGTGAGCATTATACATGCATATAAAAATGAAGAAGGCAGATATTAACTGTAGTTATAGAGGTAGATTGTTCCAAAGAGATGGTCCTCTGTATGTCCGTGAATATTGATTAAGAATCCATCTAATCATCCATCCACAATAAACAGTACCTGTTTAGCCAATACATATGACAATCCTTCATTAAATTACTAAAATCATACATATGTACCATCAATTGAGTTAAAACTTCCATTTAGCCCAAAAATACTCTTTATACATTTTATCTAATTCCTTCAAAGTCATTATGAGTCTGGACAGACATCGACGTAAACTGCAACTTGACTGGATGGTGGAGGCATACAGCTGTTGAGCAATAATTCTAGTATAGTCTAGTATAAACTGCAGAGAATCAGTTTACCAGACCACTAATCCTATTTTATAAATACACATAAATACATCCAAAGCCATTTTCTAGATGTTTTTATAGTGCAATTATCTCTCTTCTTTGCTGATTTTAATTTTACCCATGCTGTACCTTGCCCCAGTCACCTTCCCTGTCGTTGCCATCGAGGCATTAAGGTAATTATACCATATTGGGGTTGTGGACCCAGCTCTCACCATGTCTGCCTCTCACGTTGTGATTTTTTTCTGTCTGGTATGATTTCTCCATTAGCTACTGCTACTCCTCGTCTCACTTCTTTAGGTGATGACAATAAGATGAAGGCAAATTATATTAATATATTATCCAAGTCAATTATTGTTCTTAAAGTCATTGTCATCTCCAAGTCAGATAAAATTATACTAATTTGAGGATCTGGGGGAAGTGGAGCATTCAAGAGACACAATAAAAATCCCCCAAAAATTAATCTTCGTATGGAATGACATCAAAAAAGGAAAATAAATCAAATATTGCATCCGACTAAAATTTTCTGAAAGTGCCAGTTAATCATCAACACACCCCCCATCACAGCAGCAGCATACCCCTTTTTATTATTGAGAGCGGGGCGCCAAATAACATCAGAGCCAGTAGGAGGAAAATGCTCAAATAATTATGTTGTTCATTAAATCTTTCTTTCCTGTTAGATAAATTCAGGAAGATACATGATTTGTCTCATACAAAGCCATTGCTCTCTTTGTAAACTGGCTTTTGTGAAGTCATGTTTTTAAGTGAGATGTAAGACTCACAGGTGGCAATGAAAAGTTTAGGTCATTCATTTCAAAATTGGATGGGGGTGGGGTTTAGGGAATTAGTCACAGATGAAGAGTTTTTGCCAGAGAATGCTCAATCATTTTATTTGTCTGATTTTTTTTTTATTGTAAAATGTATGGCTAGTTTTTGAACAACTTCAGACAATACTGACATTGATCAGTGTGTTTGTGTTCTTGGTGGTGCCCAATTTGATATACAGGATTAATATGTGCATCCAGTATCATAATTACTCTTGCTTTTTTTTTAATTTACCTTAAAATAACTGAAAGTTGATGCAACTAATATTTCTGCTATGCGAGAGATTCTGTGAGTGTGGGGAACATATTAACCAGTATGGAAATCAGTGGGAAGCATTTTTTTCATCCTCTCTTGCACTTGCCGCCTTTAATCCCATGATTACGTTTGTAATCTAAAGCTAATTCTCCCTGGGCTCCAGTCTATAGAGTGACGCCCTGGTAGCCAAGCCACACTGGGAATTTTACTGTAATTACAATCCTCAGAGCTAGGGCCGATACCAGCTGACATCATTTGAAAATAATTTGTAATTTTCCTCTCACAGTTTCCATCCAATGTCTGTGTGATTTAGTACAGAGCCAAGGTGGACACAGGACAAACAATGTTTCAACATATTACAAGTGGAACATTTGTCTAAAATTGTCACCGATTAAAATATATTTTAATATATATTTAAATATATTAAAGTATGTAATAATGTCTGGTATTATATAGTAGTTTAACACAAAAGCACAATTTTTAGGAGACAGTTTACATGCATTGGTAGTCTTCTTGCCATACAGAAGAAACAAATGCACCACCGCTTAAGGAAATCAGCAACTCTCAATTTTCCTCAGCAGTAAACATTTCTGGCTGTTGCCTTTTGGTTTCTGCACCTATATATTCCAACTACAAGAATGTGGTGCACAGGCACAGTTTGGCAGATTCTCCGTTAGCTGTCAAAGGGCATTCTGGGAGATAAACAAAATCAATAAAATATAGATAAGGTAAGTTGAGGAAAAAATTGATTCACAAAAAGAAAATCACAACAACATTTTCTAAGCCTCCTTATTTTAGAGAGTGCATTCTTCCTCTACTATTTCAGCTATTTTAGCTCCTACATGTGTACATGAGAGACACTGTACTTCATGTTACGTTTGTATCTTCAACCCTTCGGTATGTCTTGGGTGCCATACAACTGAAATCTACTGTGTTTTTGCCTTTTGTGCTCACAGTCAGACTGGATTTCCCCATAATGATTCAGTACTGATATTTCTTTTTTGGCTTCTAGGGGGCGCTGGTCACTGCCTGTGCAGATGACACGCTACATTTGTGGAATCTCCGTCAGAGGCGGCCGGCTGTCCTGCATTCGCTCAAATTCAACAGAGAGAGGTAAGCATAAAGTCCACTTGATAAAACACACACATGCACACACAGATACACACTTTACATACCTTACACACCCTGCTCCAGTAAAAGATGGATGTGACTGTCCCTGGTCAGAATATACTATTTTACACAAGCAGTCCGTGAAGAGCTTCCCAAAACCACCACCAACTAGCCCTATACACAGTATTGGCCATAGTGCTGTATTTTGTATCCAGTTATCTTTGTATCCAGTAACATCTTGACACCTCTGGGATCCAAAAGAGATATCCATTGTTTAACAAATGTATTACTTGTAGAGCTTTTTCAGAGATTACCAATGCCACTATGCAGTGCCTTCTGTGCTCCAGGAAGACTCCTACTCACCATATCCCAGACCGCCCAGCATATGCATCCGTCCATCTCTTAGCTGCAGTATCGGGAGCGGCCAGTGTTTTCCAACAGGAAGACACATTTAATCAATTCAATCTGGAAGACGATGAAGCAGAGTGTTGACAGGACAAGGCCAGCTCCTCTGTCCAGCCTCTGATCTTTTTTCACCCTGTTTGATAAACCTGAGGAAGAGAGGATCCCTTGGCTTGATGTTCTCTCTTCTGTCTCAGCTGGTGACCCCTTCAGCCTCATGAGACACCCCCCACTAACTTCACTACAGGCTGTGAGAGTTGACTTCCCAGTGGCTATTAGGCAGCTGAATCCATCTCCTTTGACATGTTGCCAACTAAACCTTTGAAATGCCTGTTTTCACATGGTGACTACAAACTGGCAGCAGCAAACAGAGCTGGTGGAATATTTTAACAAGACATTGCTTATGGCAGCCCAGCCCAGTCAGCCTGGGCATGAATATATATAAGTTGTATTTATTTGTTATAATTATAAGTCAAATGAACAACATCTGCAAATGTGTTTGGAATGCTAGGAGCAATGTCATAGTTCACATTTTATTTTGGGGTTGTGCAGATGTGGCTGACTGTCCTCTAGCAGTAAGCCACAGAAGTCCTGTCTTGGAGCTCCCCCTCACTGCGACAGCCTCTCTGGTGCTTCCATATCTGACACCACTCAAGGGTCCCTGAGGTCAGAGAAGAGATTGTTGCTGCTATGTTGCTTTTGCCTGACAGCTAAGGCCCTACCTGTGATCCCATTTGAAGCAATGGTACACGAGTGCTCAATGGGCTGGGAAAAACATGACCACTGCAGAATTCTGGCTGACTGACTGGCAGACACTCAGTTTGTTTGCTAGAGGGATTATTCCCTCTTTGTTGCTCATTTCGTTTCTTGGACTGAAATTTGAAAGGTCCTTATTTTTTCTGCAGCCCCCTCCAACTTCCAACTCCCCTTTCTTAAAGCAGACACATTGTCTTCCTTGTCTATCTCTCTCTCTGGTTTTCCATGTCACATGTCATCCACAGGGTGAGGAGGTAGTGCCACACCCTCAGCAAGCTGCTTCTTTAAGTCAGTCAGCTGTCACTCCCTGTCCATCTCTTCTTCTATAGAAGAGTAGTCTGTGGGATGAGGTGGTAAGCAAGAGCTTGGCTCTTTGCTTTTACAGAGCATAGATTTCTTCTCTCCACCATTATACTTTATTAGCAAACAATGGCCTCTTGGTGCTAATGCTTGCATTTGGAAACTGTTTTTCTTTTTTCTTCCCTGACAAAACTTATGGGGATCTGGCCATACACAGAAATGTCTCGAAATATTTGGTTGTCCTAAATGGCGCAATATTCAGCCAGAAACAGGTCTTATAATCTGGGGGTGTCCACTGCAGTTGTTTAGCACATACACAGTCCACACTAGGATAGATAGATAGATAGATAGATAAGATAGATAGATAGATAGATAGATTAATAGATAGATAGAATAGATAGATAGATAGATAGATAGATAGATAAGATAGATAGGATAGATAGATAGATACTTTATTTATGAGGGAAATTCAAGAGTGTGTAGATAAGGAAGTAAATACCCACTTCAGTCTGGTCAGCATTCATTGGGGTTTTGTTGTTTCTACTGTGTCGTGGCAGGGGTGTGTAAATAGAAATGTGTGCATTGTACCTGCCCTAGTTCTAGGTAGGGCTCTCCGACTTGCTTCTTTGTCATACCAGGCATGCTCAGATGCTGTTTATAATATCAAAGCCAGTTGGCTGGGGGTTCAGCAAGTTCATCCTTGAGTTCAGCAAATTCATCCTTGAACAGCTGATTGTGTGTATCTGTGTGTTTTTGTTTCACTGCACAGTGGTGCAATATTGTCAAGCCTAGATTCCCAAGGCTTTGTCTGCTTTCAAGACATAAAATTCACATGAATGATGAATAGACATTGCTCACCTCTGAATTTTTAACATTTTGCTCATTACACATTTCATACCAGCAGATTTCTATTACGTGTTGAGCAGCCATTACACACAAAGCAAAACAGTATTAGAGAATGGTATTATCCATTAGCAGTAACATTCAAATATTTGGTGAGTGTTATGCTAAACAAAGGAAGAGTCTTCTGACTTACCGTTACAGCCAGTTTTTCAAGACTTCAAAAGTTGACAAAGAAAGCTTTAACTTGCTGACAGAAATCGGAAAAAATGAAACAAATAATTATTCCATTAACTTTATGCTTATAAATCAAAATTATTCCCATTTTCCTTTTCCTATTCTACTATACAGAATATACTAGACTTTGTGAAAATTTTCAAGTTCTTCATATTCAAGTTGAACTTATATAACTCCTATAACAGGAGATATTTTCTGTCTTTCTGCAAGAAAAAACTATTCTTTCTAACTAAAACTTGATTTCCACCACGTGGCACATGTGTCATGGGCAAGGACATTTAATGAATACAGTATGACTGTATTCCCTCTGAATGTGATGAAATTTTATTATGCTTTCAAAAAGCAGATTATTTATTTATTTTTACCACAAACTTTCTATGTCAATAGAAATGCAGGGTCACGGTGTCAGATCAAGTGTTGCTTTTGATGAGCACATGTAATAGCAAACTCAGCCCGGTCACAATTACAAGTCAAGGACTTCAGCTGAGTCACAGGATATTTTTCTCTCTACTGAAACTTTCTATCACAAGAGAGAAATAAGCTTTCTCCCCAAGACAGAATCTCAATCCTACCATGAAAAAGCACATAAATCTCGACCAGTGGCACTTTCACAATGCAACAGAGACTTAAAGGATAATGGGCCAGAGGAGTTTGTTAAATCCATGTACTGTCTGCAAGTTGTTAAGGAAAGAACTTGGTGTCTTGTTAATGCAGTGACAGGTTTCAAGTCATTAGTAGTGTATGTGAGAACAATAGACATATTTCAAGATTTTTTTATCAAACCTATATCAAAATTTTAATGACTTTTAAACTTAGAAATCATGTTGTCTAAAAACCCTAAAGATACTTTCAGACAGAAACAGGCACCAACTGCTGTAAACAGGATGCCAGTCATGCTGTCAAAGAAAGAGAGGGTGGCTACCACTGTTGTAAACACACACAGGTAGTATTGATAACAATGATAATAGTAATAACCTCTATTTGTATAGATTTTTGAACCAAAGTTACAATGAAATACAATCTATAATTGTATTAATACAGTGGAAGTATCTTCATAAGCCATTGTTGGCTACATTTACAGTCAATCAATTTATTTGGTGGCTCGCTATATTTTATTCATTTACTGTAATTCTCTTTTTAATATTCTATTGATGTGCTTTTCCCTGATTAATCATATTATTTTTGCTGTTGCAGCAACCTCATTACATTAATCATTTATGAAATCATCTCATGCTTGTCAATGTAAAACTGCCCATATCACATATTTCATATTTTAAATTCATAGCCTAGCAGCTTTACCTGTATCACTGTGTGGTGTACATGCCCACACAAACACACAGAGGTGAAGGTTAGGAAAAATGCTTTGTATCAAACCCTCTTTCAGTAGCTCTCCACCTGTCTTGTAGTGCGATGAGGTAGGAAGCACAACCACTCGTTCTCAACAGCAGAGCAGTGAATCATGCTCTAAGATAAAAGTAGAAAAAGGGCATTATGAGTCATCCGTCAGTGGCTGGGCAGTGACTTGCCATTTAGCTCTGTGTCTCTAAGCTGAACCTCTGATAATTAGCACCCTAACACCCCCACAGAATCCCCTAAGAATAATGTATGAATCACTGGAAACAGTGGAGAGAATTGTTTTGTGATAACTGTCAGTCAGCATCTCGTGCGTGCCACCCCTCCTCGACTCATGCTGCTGTTAAAAAGAGTTTGAAGACTTTCAGTCCAAACAAAATGCACACAACACTACATGAGACATTGGACACTTGCAATAGTTTTTGCACAGTAAAAAGAGCCATTTGTGCTAATGTGATCATCTGTGATTTGAAGTTATCCAACAGGATTGTTCTTTGCTGATATATGATATATGGAGTCGTTGTAGAATTCCTTAAGCAGTTAAGCAGATGGCAAGGTCACCAATTCCCTAGATGATGTTACGAATTCAATTAATCTGTACATCTTTTTACTTAATTAATTGTATTTGCTCCTCAGTTGGTCTCACAGTGGCAGGTCAGCTGGCAGCCACAGCGCTTCCTGTTCTCTTTGGTTGATACTAAAGTTGATACTTAGTTGATGGTGCCTGGTAGATTGTATGGAGTCATGCCTTCGACTTTCTCCAAATTGTCCTCTGGATCTGTATTCATCACTACTTGCCTTGTTATTCTTCATCCCATTCATCATCTTCTCATTTTTTCTTCAATTGATTTTTTCCCCCTTAAAACTTTGTCTTTTATTTGATCCTGCCTGTGACATTTTTATGTAAATGGTCAGCTCATAATGGAGGTAATCAGTGCTAAGAGGCTTTTCTAAATAGGCCTCATTTTATTTGATATTTTTTCACTGGGAGAATCTTCTGACTCACTTGGGTTACTGCAGATAAAGTCTTTGAAATATGACAATTTAGATGAATAACTATCAACATTTTACACAGTGACACATAATTTGCACAATGTCCTCTGTGCCTAGTAAGTCAATGAAGAGGTTTGGATCTCATCTGTTGTTTTTATGTTAAAGAATTAGACCTAATAATCCACAAAGGTCAATCAGGATGCTTCCTTCAGCACAGAAATATGTCAATTATAGTGCTAAGGCTGAATGCATGTTGTAAAAGACAGTAGACTGAATAATCCTCTGTTGCTCGTATAGCACTTCTGCCCCCCTGCCAGTTTGAATATTGTCATCTCCCCAAGCCCCTAAAATCCTTATTGAATTGTCTGCCATCTCATTTGTCTTCTATCTAATAATCCTGTCGCTTGCTGGGTGGGTGGCTGTGGGGCTGTAGCCCAATGATCTACCCACTTCTAAAAGGTAATCAGCATGGATAGAGGATAGTAGGGCTTAGTGTGTGCTGATCTTTCTTCCCTGGTTAAGATGATTATAAAAATGATAGATGCTAATGACAGAGCAATAATGGTTTAAGCAGCCTTGCATCACATCAGAATTATTTTCACACAAATACCTTAGGGGTATGGGTCTCATGATTATTTATTGATTTGCGAAAAGCAATTATTAGGATTTTTGACAATTACATTTTCAAAACCTGGAAAAGTTTTAGAAAAATGTAAAATCCCAAAAGATTTGGAAAAGTAATGGAAAATAGTTTCATGAACATCTTTAAAACATGACCTGTCTATTTTTTTCCCAATCTGGCAATGTTATAAAACAGACATGTACTCACTCAGGTATGGTCATTGGCTACTGTAGTACCTTTTCTTGCTGGAACAGTTTTATATATATGGGCATACACCGATCAGCAATGGTGCTGCATAACATTATAACCACCTGGGCACATTGGTGAGCCTTGGCCGTCCATGACCCTGTCGCCAGTTCACCACTTTTCCTTCCTTGACACTTTTTGATAGGTACCTGACCATTGCAGACTGAACACCCACACTGAGCTGCAGTTTTGGAGACTTGCCACTGAACCCAATTTGTCCCAGCCATCACAATTTGCCTTATCAACCAGTCGCTCAAGAATCCTCACGCTGCCATTTTTCCTGGCTTCTAACCACATCAACTGGAGGACAAAATGTTTACTTGCTGTCTTATATATTCCACCCACTGACAGGTGCCATGATAACAAGATAATCAGTGTTATTCATTTCACCTGTCAGTGATCATAATGTTATAGCTGATCAGTGTATGTATGTGTATGTGTCATCATGTGAAAATATATTTTGCATTTGGACAAGGGGAGAGGCAGCCATAGATTTGTCATGTTGACAGTGGGGGTCTGATGTGAACTGAAGAAGTTTAAGAAGTAGTGAGTGAAGCAGTGTGTCTATACAGCAGGCACAGCATGAGCAGCAGCAGCTTTAGAACTCCATCTGTGTCTACACAGTATTGAGTGTAGGTCACTGGCGTTTTGGCAGCGCTCAAACTCCACACACAATCACTGTAATATGCACATAAAACCAAAGAAAATATACTTGAAGCAAAATTCTTGGTTTCTTTACACCACTCATCTTCTCTGTACACTACACTGGTTCCCCATTGCTGCTCACATCCAGTTCAGAAGTCTATAGCTGGCAGTGAAGGGAACTGTTCCCTACCTCCAAGCCATGGTCAAACCCTACCCCCCAGCCCAGCTATTGTGTTTCTCTGCCTCTAGATGTTTAGCTGTCCCATCAGACTCTGGTCATTCATCTCAGTCAAGGCTCCTGTCTGTTCTGGCTAGAGTCACAGCCGTCAGCCAGTCTTTTTCCGCAGACTAAAAACCCAGTTTTTTAGACATAAAAAGGCCTTTACACACCAGGGGCATGACGATTAAAGGGCACAAATGCTCACCTGTGTAAATGTTGCATCAAAACTAATCATTCTGGCAGTGATTGGAATTAGCGACTCATTAAAATAAATAATTAATTCCACACACACTTACTAGGGAAGACAGGGACTGGTGAAAAAATGGCAGCAGCTTGCAGAGCTACCGGAGATCACACTGCATAAACAACACACTGACAGACAGGTCACATTCACCGGGGTTATCTCAGCTGCCTGTCCCGGGGCTCCGGTTCAGTCTGTTAAGATGTATTAATATGTTAAAACACCAATGTCACACAAGACCAAGAAACTAATCAAGGCAGTGGTAAACCAGAAACTCTAGTGTTGTATGAGGTAAAATTACTGTTTTTGTAGACTTTAAAGGGATCAGATGAATATAACAGCTTCAGTTCCCCATCGGTAAACCCCACATAGCAGTCTGTGCGCTGCATATTATTGGCTTCCTGTGAAAGTACTCATTACAAAAAAAAGGTCGAAAAACTACATTGACCTGCAAATAATTTTTACAATAAAACGCCTCTTGTGTGTAAAGGTCTTAAGTCTTAACAAGTTATGTATTCTGGATACTTGTACTGGGTAATAAGGTTGATTGATTCTCAGCGCAGTTAACTTTGTTCCACTGTGTGTGAAATTTGTAAATGTTTTGTAAAGCAAAAATCTTAAATACATATTCTGCAGTTTTTAGTTAGTTTCCTCTGAAACCATTGATTTGGGCTGCAGAAAGTTTATAAAATTAACTTGATATGTTATGAATTTTTATGGTTAAAGAAAGAATCTGGTTATGAAAATTAATTTAAACCCAAGGAAAAGGCACAGAAATCTATTGGAAAAAATGTGCAGGAATAATAATTAGTATTAGTATTAGTAGTACTAGTTGTTGAGTTGTGAATATGTATGACATGATGGACCAGTTTAGCCTGTAGTGCACATGTCAGTATGTCAGCTTTCGGACTAATGAAACAGAACATAGAAAAAGTTCAGCCTTCTATTTTTGAGAGTAATGCTGAAGGGCTCTTTGAATAACTATTTATACTGGGCTAAGTGCAAAAGTTCTCTGACAAGAGAGAAGCAGAGAGTGGGGCAGGTGGAGCAAATGTAGGCAATAATATCTATATTGAAGGTGCTGCATTGCTCATGAAAATAGATTTTCACTTTCCTGTCGACCACTAAATTAAACCTTGATTAAGGGTTAGTCAGTCATTAGAATGAGTCATGCCATAACTTCCGTGAATGAGTCAGGGTTTGACGTCTATGAAGGACAGTTATTGAACAGTGGTTCTGACAGTGACATAGTATATAGTCTATTAAGTTTAAGTACCATGGACAGTGCTGTACATATTGAACGTTTTAGAATGCTAATTGCTAAGCAGGCAACTTGGCTAGAATGCAGTTTAGTCACTTTATTTGTTATCCAACAGTTGCTTTATTGAACAAATGCCTCTTACCCCATGATTTTCAATTGTTTTGTTTGTATTATGCCCAATTATTGATTTTTTTAAAGGCATATCTGTCATATTTTAAAATAGAAAACATGTTATTCCAACAAAATACCTTGATGTTTCATTTTCTTTAATAATTTTAATAATAGAATAGCTTTCATTTTTAGTATTGCATACAAATAAATACTGTACACACTGAAAACTACACTTCACACAATCATATAGTCATGATTATAAGCAGTTTGAAATGCACATTGTTTGTCTGAAAGCAGAAGTATGCACAATACTCTTTATATGTACAAAAGTGTGAGAATACACAGTGTTGAACCATACTGCATAGACTTGATATAACAATCCTTGAAAGCAGAGCCCCCTTTGTGACTGTTCATATTCTAACACTCTATCTCTTTCCTCCTTTGTTTCTTGTTCTCCAGGATCACGTTTTGCCACCTTCCCTTTCAGAGTAAATGGCTATACGTGGGGACGGAGCGCGGAAACACACACATCGTCAACATCGAGTCCTTCATTTTGTCTGGATACGTCATCATGTGGAACAAGGCCATAGAACTGTAAGTTGCCCCTTCTAACAAACAACAGTTATCTGGGATTGGTTATCTGACAGTGATGATTTTAATGTGCTGATACTGGTGTGAATGCCAGTGGGTCAGGGTCAGTAAATTGATGGCCAAATATTTGGTGGGTCTTGTATGGATTTTTAATACTTTGTGTTCCCTAAAATAAGGTTTGGAAAAAAGGATCTGTCAACAGAGGACACAAGTTAATTGTTTTTTAAGCCGTTTCAAAGTCTCAAGGGCAGTGATCTCTTTGAAAGCTAACCTTAAATCAACAATATTGAGTCGAGTTTAATTAAGAAAGTAAATCTAGAGTTGTGAATTTGCAATTGAATAAGTGTTAATTGTGTTAGTGGTCTCGCATAACGTACAATTAGAACAGTTGAGAAGTTAAAGTTTACTACCATTTTGTTGCCTTTTATGTTTGAACAAGAGGTTCATGAATTAACTAGTCAGAGAAGTTTTTCCATATTAACAGTGAATTTTTTCAGTGATCATATGTTTCTTTGTATGAAAAGAACTGAACAACAGATGGATTTCAGTGTTATAGGTGAAACTTTAGGTGAATACATGGATGGTTATTTTATGAGCATTACTAAAATAACCTGTCTGCCACTCTTTCTCGACTTCAAATAGCCTACACACACACAAAGACACACACACACACAGACACACACACACAGTGAAATCTAGGACTTCATATAGGATTCAAAATTATTGGGTTGTTGTTGAATTGATTTTGTTGTGTGAAGTTGGGCCCATTTCTCAGGGGTATTCATATGTTATTGCTGTTACTTGTTAGCTTGAGCCTTATTATCTATACACATAAATACATACACATATACACTCTGCAGTACATCTTTTGAATTTGCATCTGGGGGGATGTAAACAGCAGTAACAAGATAGTGATACCTCTCAATTGTAATACTTCTACAATATTGTTAAGAATAGTTCAATAAATAAGACTACACGATAAACAGAGGGCTGCAAATAGACCCAGTGATTGGGAATTGTTATCATCAATGCTGCTTTCAGCAATCAGTGGTCTGCCCATCAGAGCGCCAGTATTGTTTAATTATTCTGAACATTATGTTGCTGTTGCTATTGCAAACTGAGCCATGTGCCATCTGACATTTGGACTTTCATGAGGAAAACTGGACTCAGATCTATGGTCATTAAGATGTATTTGAAAATTAAATAAATAAAATCGAAACTTGATAGTGAACTTGATAAAACTAACACATTTGCAACAACTGGCAGAACACTAAATGAGTTAAGTTGAATATTTTCAGTGTTAACCGACTATAAAGAAAACATCACACTTGCAGTGCATCAACAGGCTTTATCCTTCTTTTGTGGTAATGTTCACAGAAAGCATACAGTAAGCATAAGAAAGTGTCCACAATGTAATATAATATTTAGGCATAATACTACTTATCAGCCTTTAATAATTAGTTGACATGCACTTTTGTTGGTTGCACGAGTTGACTGTGTAGCTGACATATGCTGCAGATTGACAACTGCTGCATATGTCAGCCATTAAATACACAAATCGTGCTCAGTTGCATTGTATGCCCGTTTGTTTCTCTTGGTTACACCCACCTACGCGCCATTCTTCTGGTGTTACCCTGACAAGTCCCCTGCTGCAGTGTCAGTCACAAGTCACTCTCATACCAAGCCATCTTGTTGCCTTGTGACAGCCCACACTATGGTGAGCAGCCATAACACTGATGTGTATGTGTGGGAGGGCTGACTGCCAATCACTGCTAAAGTCTCGGAGGCTGAGACAGTGGTTGTGATTTTTAACAGGATATTTAGTTTGTTGATTCCTCACCACAGTGTGAGTCAACAGAGAACTTTCAATCTTCTTTTTAGCATCACGTCAGAACTTCTTTCGGTCTAAAACTGTGTGAAAGAAATTTGTTTTAATGTGTTAGGATGTCTACTTTGCTCATAAATAAGAAATATTTAATTACTCAATCAACAAATAACAATTATTAGTGGTTAACCGATATTGGTTTTTCAGTGGCTGATGTCGATATCAATATTAAGAGAGCAGGGTGGCCGATGGCTCATATAAAATGCAGATATAAAAACAAAGGAAAGTAATGTATATTTCCATTCCATGCACATTACAATCTAATATACTTGGTTAGCCAGTAACATGTTCTTATAAGTCTGATTATTTATTAAAACAAAACAATACATGGGGTTATGTTGTAGATTTCCGAATGTGACTAGTATTTAAGAGAGAGCGGGGTACAGTATGTCAGAAGTGATGTCATTCAACTGCATTATTCTATAATCCAAAACTTCCAAAACTCACAAGGGGGAGCTCTAACATGGTTCCACAGCAGCCACAATGACAAGGTTGCCTGCAGACATTTTTGGTTCATTGGCCTTGCAAGCGCAGGCATCACCCGATGGCGATTATCTCAAAATGCCAGATAATCGTCACCATCAATCGGCCAACTGATTAATGCAAGGGAGCCGCCAAAAACAAAATCGGGAGAGGTGAAAACTACTATTTGTCTATTTACTGACATTTCAGAATTTAGATCTTTAATGTAATCTGGCCTATAATGGGACAA